AAATATTCCTGCTGTTGTTCTGGGAGTTGTTTTTCTTAGGAGGCAATTGCCTTTTCTAACAGGGATTGAAGGGCAGAGAAGATTTAAGAGATAAGGGGTTAACTAGTAGCATGGAACTGGAAAGTAGAGGAGCTTTTCAGTTTCTCTTATTTTGTTTGTTACTGTACAGACAATCAGACAAGAACATGTGCTAATGTATAAACAAAAATGACATTCTACGGCCAAATATCTTTTGGACTACCTATCACTGGATAGATTTCATATTATATCTTACTTCACAATGTCCAGATTATTTTAAAAAATGACTTTACTTCTAATACAAGATTGAGCCTTCAACTGATACTTGATCCCTACAATGAGTAGCCCAAGTAATGCTAAGTAAAAGAAGTTATATACTTATTTCTCCTTTCTTTTCTTGGAAGTGTATTTCTTATGTTATCAACCTGTTATGGTGTTCCTGAAAATAAACAAAAAAAAATCTAAAAACTAAAATGCGGGAGTTCCTGGGTGGCTCAGTCAGTTGAGCGTCTGCCTTCAGCTCGGGTCATGATCCTGGGGTCCTGGGATCCAGCCCTGCCTGCGGCTTTCTGCTCAGCCGGCTGGGAGCTTGCTTCTCCCTCTCCCTCTGCCTGCCACTCCGCCTGCTTGTGCTTCCGCCATCTCTGTCAAATGAATAAATAAAATCTTAAAAAAATAAAAAATAATAAAAACTAAAATGGAGAGAGAAAATTAAATAAGGCAAATTGGAAATATGAATTGTTTAAACAATTCATGTGGCTTTTGTGCTGGTATATAGACTACCATATGATATAGTGAATTTAAGGAATAAATTTGTTGTGGGACAAAGAGAAAAACCAATATCATTTATTCATTTAGAAAGCATTTATTAAATGCCTCGTAGTGTTAAAGAATGTGTAAGGAGCAAGATATAGAACCATGTCTTTCCTTCTGTAAATTAGTCTATTGGAGAAGAGAGATAATTAGTAATCTTTGCAAATATATTTCTATTAGCTTTGGCAAAAGAAAAGAATAAGCAAGATCTTTACAAAGTGTAAAGACCTGGAATTTTTTACAGGATGATATAAAAAATACTTAACAGCTGTTAATGCCACCAACCAATGAAAAGTTGGTCACCCCAACTACTGGCTGAACACTGGCCTTGGTTACATTAATTAGGGGTTTCCACTGATAGTGTGTGGAATGGTAGTGTAAAAACAGTCATTCTAAATAAGTCTCTTTTTAAGTTTTTGGTAACAGATATAAAGTTAGTTTAGAAATATAAATAGGATTTGAGAAAAACTCAGCTAGATTTTAAATTTTTGATATTTTTCATTTCTTAATTTTTATCATATTTACTTTATAAATTTTTTTTAGATAATACAGTCACATGATTAAAAAAATCAAAAGGTTCCAAAGGCTATTCAGCTAAAGGAGTCCCTTCCACCCTGTCCCAGACTCACAGTTCTCCCTGGGGGAAACCAATGTTGCCCCTTTTCTTGTGCATCCTTCCAGATATACTATGTATATAATTTTTTAAAAACTTACTTAGGTAACAAATATCCTAGACTGGAGCTTATAGGCCAGCACAAAAAAGAACTAGTGACCAATGAAGACAACCAAGAACATTAAGAAATAGTATTTTAGGGACACCTGGGTGACTCAGTCGTTAAGCGTCTGCCTTCGGCTCAGGTCATGATCCCAGGGTCCTGAGATTGAGCCCCACATAGGGCTCCCTGCTCCTCTCTCTCCCTCTCCCACTCTCCCTGCTTGTGTTCCTGCTCTCACTAACACTCTCTCTGTCAAAAAAAAAAAAAAAACCAAACTTAAAAAAAATAGTATTTTATATTAATCTTAGTGCAACAGACTGAATGTATCCCCCCAAAATTCATACGTTGAAACCTAACCCACAAGGTGATGGTACTAGGAGGGGGGTGCTTTGGGAGGGAGTTAGGTCAAGAGGGTGAAGCCCTCATGAATGGGATTAGTGTCCTTATAGAAGAGACCCCAGAGAGCTCCCTCTCCCCATCTGCTATGCGAGGGCACAACGAAAAGACTGCCATCTATGAACCAGAAAATGGGATATCCCCAGACACCAAATCTGCCCACGCCCTGATCTTGGACTTCCCAGCCTCTATAACGATGAGAGATAAATTTCTGTTGCTTATAAGCCACCCAGTTGATGTGTATTTTGTTATAGAAGCCCAAACTTTTCTAAGACACTTAGTTACTGAAACTCCTAGGAAAGGGCGTCCTGTCCACTGTTACATTCCAGGTCAGAGATGTTCCCTTAAGGAAAAAGCGTTGACTATATGCTTTAAAGATGGGATATTTCAAGTTGATTACACATAACAAGAGTTAAGGAATCTAAGTATAGTTTTATTTATTTATTTATTTTATTTTTATTTTTTAAATTTTATTTATTTATTTGACAGAGAGAGAAACACAGCGAGAGAGGGAACACAAGCAGGGGCAGAGGGAGAGGGAGAAGCAGACTCTCTGCTGAGCAGGGAGCCCGATGTGGGGCTCGATCCCAGGACCCTGGGATCATGACCTGAGCCGAAGGCAGACGCTTAACGACTGAGCCACCCAGGCGCCCCAGGCTTTCTTATTTTCTGATATGTGTATATCAGATTGTAATTTTTCTCTGAGTACAGCCACCCAGGCGCCCTACAGTTTTTTTTAAAAAGTAATCCTGATTTCTTTTTAAAACTAAGATATAGTTCACATGCCATATACAATTCAGTGGTTTTTAGAATAATCAGAAGGTTGTATAGCCATCACTGCTATCTAATTCCAGAACATTTTCATTATCCCCCAGAAGAAATCTTATACCCATTACCATCAATCCCCCAGCCCCTGGAAACCAGTAATCTATTTTTTTTTTTTTTAAGATTTTGTTTATTTATTTATTTGACAGAGAGAGAGAAACAGCATGAGAGGGGATAGGGTCAGAGGGAGAAGCAGGCTCCCTGCTGAGCTGGGAGCCCAATGTGGGACTCGATCCCAGGACTCCGGGATCATGACCTGAGCCGAAGGCAGTCGCTTAACCAACTGAGCCACCCAGGTGCCTGAAACCAGTAATCTATTTTGTGTCTCTATGGATTTGCCTATTCTGGACATTTCATACAAATGGGATCATATGATATTTGGCCTCTGTGTCTAGTTTCTTTCATTTAGCGTATTATTATTTATTTATTTATTTATTTATTTATTTTTTAAAGATTTTATTTATTTATTTGAGAGAGAGAGAATGAGAGACAGAGAGCATGAGAGGGAGGAAGGTCAGAGGGAGAAGCAGACTCCCTGCCGAGCAGGGAGCCCGATGCGGGACTCGATCCCGGGACTCCAGGATCATGACCTGAGCCGAAGGCAGTCGCCTAACCAACTGAGCCACCCAGGCGCCCTAGCGTATTATTTTTTAAAAAGATTTTATTTATTTATTTATTTTAAAAGATTTTATTTATTTATTTGACAGAGAGAGAGACACACAGCAAGAGAGGGAACGCAAACAGGGGGAGCGGGAGAGGGAGAAACAGGCCTCCCGCTGAGCAGGGAGCCAGATGTGGGGCTCGATCCTGGGACCCCGGGATCATGACCTGAGCTGAAGGCAGACGCTTAACAACTGAGCCACCCGGGTGCCCCAAGATTTTATTGATTTATTTGAGAGAGAGAGAGAGGGTGCACGTGCGTGCATGAGTGGGGAAGGGGCAGAGGCACAGGGAGAGGGAAAAGCAGACTCCCTGCTGAGCAGGGAGCCCAAGGTGGGGCTCCATCCCAGGACACTGAGACATTGACCTGAGCCAAAGGCAGATGCTTAACTGACTGAGCCACCCAGGTCCCAGGACCCTGGGATCATGATCTGAACCAAAGGCAGACACTTAACCGACTGAGCCACCCAGGCGCCCCTCAATTAGCGGATTATTTTTAAGGTTTATCCATGTTATAGCATGTATCAGTACTTTATTTCTTTCTCTTACCTTTTAAAATTTTCTTACCTTTTAAAAATTTTAGTAAAACATATGTAACATAAAATGTACCATTTTAACCATTTTTAAGTGTACAGTTCAAGGGCGTTAAGTACATTCATACTATTGCACAACCATCCCCCTATCCACCTCCAGAACTTTCTCATCCTCTCAAACTGAAACTCTGTACCTATTAAATAATAATTCCATATCCCTTGGTAATCTCTATTCTACTTTCTGTCTCTATGAATTTGACTACTCTAGGTACCTCATATAAATGGAATCATACAATTGTTGTCCTTTTGCGTCTGGCTTATTTCACTTAGCGTATTGCCTTCAGAGTTCATCCATATTGTAGCTTGTATCAGAATTTCCTTCCTTTTTAAGGCTGAATAATATTCCATTGTATGGATAGACCACTTTGTGTTTATCCATTCATCAGTTGATGGATATTTGGGTGTTCACACGTTTTGACTATTATGATTAATGCTGCTATTAACATTCATGTACACATTTTTGCATGACCATATATTTTCAATTCTCTTGGGTGGTAGAGACAGGTGGGGCCATAGAGGAATTTGATGAGTAGTCAACACAGCTCAGAGACTAATCATGACCCAGGGAAGGACAATGATCACTGGGACTCTGTGTCTCCTTTGAGGAAAGGGTGAGGATGCTTTCAGTTGGGTAGAGGATAGTTGTGTCTTGTTAAATAAAAGCATAAAGTTGTTACAGTTTTCCTTTGGAAATTTAAGTATAGGTAGAAGGGTATAGAAGGATGCTAAGTAGCCCAGTGGATGAACTGTGCTAGTTACCAAGCTGTCATCTCAGATCCAACTCCCCTTTATAAACCCTACTTCGTGAGAGACAGAATGCTATTTTGTGAATATAGAACTGTTATTGATACATACAGAGAGTACCAGTCAAATTTCTCAGGCAATGAGTGATCACTTATTACTTTATGTTCAAACTGAATTCTTTGGGCTCTATGATAATGTGACATAATAGAGAAGTAACTATATTTTAAATGGTTACCCATTTTCCAAGCAGAGCTCTTCTTTCTTCAAATACCTACAATAAATAAAAAGAATGGAATGATTTTATATTTCATGGTTCAAAATACCCATTATAAGAAAGATATCATTAAACTATCAATAAATAAAAATTGACAGTCTTTTCATTATACGAATCAAGTATAAAAAGACAGATTTCATTCCTGAGAGGGTACTTTGCTTATTTTTAACTTGGAGATGATATCGTTTTTCTCAGTTTATCCATGTGGAATAACTCATCTTAAAGAAAAAGCAATGCTTTTTTTAAAGGAAAGAATAAGAAAAGAATGGAATGGCAAAGTGAAACCAATTTTGGAATTTGAAAGGAGATGAAAAAACGGACAAAGGAAAAACAGGAAAGTGGGGATCCTCCCCCAAATATCAATAGTATGAGAGCCTGTGAAATTTATGAATGAGCAGCTCTGTTTTTTATATTTCGGTGTGTACACATATCATGGGTGTACATGCGCTGATATGTTTGTAGGATTAGAAATTTGTGTATGTGTACCTCTGGGCTTACAACTCAGTGTTTATCTGGATAGGCTTGTTATTATATACTAGTTAGCACAGACACCATGTCATTGTTACATCTTTACTGTAGAGTACATAGCATATTACAGGTATGCCTGTTTGCTGGATTGAATGAATCGGTTGTGATAAGGAATATCCTTACGGATGTATCGGTACAATGTGAGTGGATTTCTGTATTAGTGTAGAGATGTTTTTCTGAGCCTCAGTCATATGTGTATTTGAATGAATGAGGAAAGGAGACTGATGGGAGAATGTTTGGCAGAGGAGGGAGTTATGGAGAGAGGAAGCAAGGGAGAGTCATGGACAGATGCGAATGTCTCTCTCAATCCCACACTCAGCCCCTCTTGTCAGCTTTCAAAATTGGGATTGATGTTTTTCCCTTCCTTTTAGTGCTGCCTAAATTCTCTAGCGCTGTAAGAATGTTCCCACTTGGAGACTAGCTAAGGCTCATTTCTTCCCTTTTTATGGAGGAGGAGCTGGTTTTATGCTTTTTTTTTTTTTAAGATTTTATTTATTTATTTGACAGAGAGAGAGAGAGACAGCGAGAGAGGGAACACAAGCAGGGGGAGGGGAGAGGGAGAAGCAGGCTTCCCACGGAGCAGAGAGCCCGATGTGGGGCTCGATCCCAGGACCCCAGGATCATGACCTGAGCCAAAGGCAGACGCTTAACTGAGCCACCCAGGCACCCCTGGTTTTATGCTTCCAACAAGATAATGCTTTCCTTCCTTTTTTAGGCTCTCAAATGCTAGTTTGAAAGGGCATACAAAAGGGGGTTTGAAATAATTGGTTCAACAATAATCTCAAGGCCAGTGAAACATCAGTTTTGTTCCTGGCCATAGAATCTCCTACATTACAGGTAGACACTTTTCTCACATTAGAGAAGAAGGAAAAGGATGCCCTTCTCCCCTGCCCCCTATTAACCTTCATCTGGGCTATTAGGACCCTCAAATAATGGCACAGATAAACGTGGGATTTCTGGATGAAAATAGAAGAGAACTTATAGAATATAGAAGATTTAAAAATGTGGATTCAGATATTTCCTGAACTCTTGCCCTCTAACCAAAGCCTATCAATCATCTGTTGGTCAATCCAAGTCACCAGCACCAGCACTTCTCAGATGCCCAGGGGATCTAGCTCCTCCCAACTCATATTCCAGTTATAGCCCACGCTCCACGTGGGCTTTATAGGGTTTGCTATGGCTCTCTCATTGTCTCTGGTCATTTCATCTTCCCATGTGGATTACAACCACTTTCTCTATAATCTGTCTAGGTTGCAAGGCAGGCCCTCAATAAACAACTGCTGATTGAACAACAACAAAAAAGTTTCAAAAGTCATAGCATTTTAGAGCTAAAAGGAACCCCTAAGATCTTTTGAATTTCCTTATTTTAGAGAGGACAAGAAGAGGACCAAAGGCTTACATTTAAAAATTTTTAAAAATCACTGGTTCCAGGCTGTCTGTCCAGCTCAACTCTGTACTGGGTTCCTCACTAGAACCATGGTCTTCCCTAACCTGACTTCCAGCCATACATTTGCAATAACTGTTGGGGGAAGAAGAAAATGTTAGGTCCCAAGACCACAACCTCTTTTTAAAAGGAGGATGAGATGACCATCATGGCACCCAGTGACAATATGGGGCATTGGAAACAAAGGGGCATTGACTTGAAGAGGAGAGGAAACTTAGCGAGAAGGTAGCAGGAAAGGAATGGGGTGGGAGGTGGGGAGTGTCACTCAGGCAAAAACAGTAGTTTTTTGTTTTGTTTTTTGTTTTTTGGAGGGTGGGGAGGGGCAGAGGCAGAGGGAGAGAGAGAATCTTAAGCAGACTCCACACCCAGTGCAGAGCCCAATGTGGGGCTAGATCTCACAGGCCTGAGACCATGACCTGAGCTGAAATCAATCAGATGCTTAACCAACTAAGCCACCCAGGCGTCCCTAAAACAATAGTCTTTAGAAGCCCAATGACCAAGTCTAAGCAGGTCCAAGCAAATCCAGTTCTTACAAAGGCCACTAGACCTAAGTAGAAACTGATGGGAGTGAGGAGGGAGAGGAAAACCAATAGACAAGCTCAGATCTGGTTCTGACTCTACCCTTGTAAGAAAGAGAATTTGGGACACATTATTTGTCAGGGTCTCAGTCAGTCTTATATTCTCTGGTTTGGAGCAAGTCTTCATTCCAAAGATTTGCAATCAGGTTTGTCATCTTAAAGAGCTGGAAAACAAAGTATTGATTCAAAATAGAAATATAAAATGGATCTTCTTTCCTTGCAGAGCACTGCAGTTTGTTTATATCACAGTTTACTTGGAGCCTGCTGTTAAGTCAAAATCCTACGGTTGTTATTTTAGTCTGTTGACAGTGCAGTTACATATTTCACCATGTGACATCATTACAGTGTACGAGTGAGACATTTAGGGGCTCCTAAATTATGATTGATTAATGGCAACAAGGTGCTTTTTCTCAGAACACCTTTTAACATGTATTGTACTGTATCTCGAAAAAGAAATGTTGGTTACTTTCAATTAAAACACTAGATGGCAGGTGCGCCTGGGTGGCTCAGTTGGTTAAGCGTCTGCCTTTGGCTCAGGTTATGATCCCAGGGTCCTGGGCCAGAGCCCCATGTCGGGCTCCCTGCTCCTTGGGGAGTCTGCTTCTCCCTCTCTGCCTGCCCCTCCCTCTGCTTGCGCTCTCTCTCTCTCTCTCAGTGTGTCAAATAAATAAATAAAATCTTAAAAAAGTAAATAAAACACTAAATGGCAAAGAAATGCATACTTTAAAAACATTCTTCCTCTCAAAATTCATAATGCCCAAGTTATTTTGAAATCTGTTACGTTTGCCTATGCTGATCATGCTCTCTTTGAAGACATCTGAATTTGAATTCAATCTCTCTGCTTCAAGTCTGCTGTGAAGTTCAATTCCTGTACCCCGATGAGCACCGAGTGTTGTATGGAGGTATTGAATCACGACATTGTACACCTGAAACTAATATGACACTGTATGTTAACTAACTAGAATTTAAGTGAAAACTTAAAAAAAAAATCCTGTGACCCTTTTTAAGACTGAAATAGTTACATATTTTCTATTTTACTACAGAAATGAAGACAAAAATAAAACAGACAACAGAACCTCAAAATTATACCAATCATTGGTGACACATGCCCTATTTAGAAGTATAGAAAAAACCGTGAAATTATTGTATGGACTCCTTTTGACCAGCTCTATCCTTGGTGTCTATTTTTAATGTCTTTTACACAGACAGAATGTTAGATCTGGAAGCAACCTCTGAGGTAATCTGATCCAACATACTTATTTTATAAAGGAGGATGGTAAAGCCCAGAGAAAGTAGGTGACTTACTCAAGTCATACAGGAAATTATCATTGATCTGGAACCAGAATTTTCAATTCCCAGAATTATTGTTCTCTCTCTAATTTATATTGTTTTTAGATTGTTTTCGAATTTGGAATTTTAGAAATTGTATTGCACTATGTAAAGTAAAAAATGAAAGCTTTCTTCTAACAGGACCACTTCCCCCAATGCCATCCAACTCTTCTGGGGAAACCACTATTAATAGTTTGGTATTGGGGCACCTGGCTGGCATGTGACTCTTGATCTCAGGGTTGTGAGCTCAAGCCTCACATTGGGTGTAGAAATTACTTAAAAAAAATAGTTTGGTATACCTGTATACAAATTTTATGTGTATCTATGTACATTTATACATATACATACATGTATATACACATGCACAGATTTTAAAAAATAGTTTTACTCCAAACTGGAACCTAATGAAACCACAAAACAACTTTTTGATAAAAAATGAGAGGTCTAGGAGCACCTGGGTGGCTCAGTTGGTTAAACATCCGACTCTTGATTTCAGCTCAGGTCATGATCTTGGGGTTGTGGGATCACGCCCTGGGTGAGGCTCCTTGCTCAGCTGAGAGCCTGCTTAAGATTCCCTCTCTCCCTCTCTCTCTGCACCCCCCTCAAACCAATAAATCTTTTTAAAAAATGAGAGGTCTAAAGAACAAAATAAATATTATCTCTAGAAATTATCATTTCGAGACAAAAGCTATTAAAAAACCAAGATAAGACAATGTAATGCTGGCTGTGATGCACTGTCCAGGATTTATTCACCCACTTGGTGGGGAGTGCTGCTGGCTGTCAGCCATAAGCTTGAGAGCTCGGCTTTGTTCAAGGTCAAGCCCTTCATGGGGCAGCTAGCATCTACTGAACGGTCAGTGTAGAAGTATATTTTTTATTATTTATTTATTTATTTATTTATTTATTTATTTATTTATTTATTTATTTATTTATTTATTTAAGTAATCTCTACACCCAATGTGGGGTTCAAACTCACAACCCTGAGATCAAGAGTCAGATGTTCCACCAACTAAGCCAGCCAGGCACCCCCAGTGTAGAAGTATAAAGGCTGGTGGCTACAGGGCCAGGCCTCAAAACCCGTGGCCTTTTCTCCCTTCCCCTCCTCTCCTCCCCTCACCCACTTCTCCCTTCTTTCCCTTCCCTTCCCTGGTGCCAATCCAGAGAGCCCTCCACAATCGATGCCCTACATGCTAATCTCAGAGTCTGCTTCTCTAGTAAGCCAACCTGCAACAGGCAATCAAGATACTTTTTTTTCTCCCTAGCTGCTAAATCGATCAAGACTTCGAATTTTTCAAAGAAAATCTCTGAAATCAAGGCATCCAACAAATAGGTATTTCAATTCAAGTCACTTTTTTGCATATGTGTAGAGCCTTCACAATTCTAGGAGAAAACAGATTTCAAAACTAAACACCGAAGTTTTTTTTAGGGGGAGGGGGGCAAAGCAGAGAAGCTGTTATATAAACTGTTGGAGTGCCAAGAACACTTACAAACAGGTGCTCAATAAACAGTTGTTGAGCTGAATATAAAGGGCTTTCAACAGACTTGGTTGTGTTCAGGGCCAGATGAAGGCCAGACGTCTGTCTCTCATTCTCTGCCTTTCCTTTTGTTTCTCCTGGCCCCTCCTCTTATTCTATGTCTCATTCTTCTTTCCTCACTTCTTTTATCTTTTCCTTTCAATCTCTCTCCCTTTTATTTCTCACTATTCTGATCGCTACACTCGCTGCTCTCTCTCTCCCCAGATTGCTCGTGTTTCACATCAGAGGAGTAGAACAGGAAAGTACTGAACAGGAGGGGTAGGGACTGATGCTCTTGTTTTCCCAGGGTGATTAGCATATCTGTTCGGTGTAGAGGCAAAGGGTCAAATCCAGACTAAGAAGGAGGGATGGAGGGACTAGAAGAGGAGCCTCAGTGAAGGAGGTCCCAGGGAGGGTGGCTGAACCCTGACTCTATCTTTTGTGCCTCAGGAACTCTATCAGGCACTGGAAATATAGAGAGAAGAGACAGAATCTCAACTCTTAACACATTACAGTCGAGGGGGAAAGTGGGTAAACAGTGATGAGAGCAAAGAGAAGCAAGCCGGAGAAGGCTTTCCAAAGAAAATGACATTTGAGTTAGCTCTTAGGGGAGGCAACAAGGGGAACAAAGGAGTGGAGGTGTGAGAGATTATGGCTCATCTGGAGGCCACTTAGTTGTTCCGGACCTAGGATGGGAGGAAAGCAGTGGCAGGGTTTGGAATTAAAAGGCTGGCTGAGGTCAACTTACAAAAGGTCCCCTGTGCTAGGTGTAGAGGTTTGGAATTTACTCTTTGGAGCAGAGTCTGTTATCAATTTCTCATGAAAGGATTAGCTTGGTATTTTATTTTTTTTATTCTATTTCTTCTTTTTTTAGTTTGGTATTTTAGAAAAATCACTCTGGGACCAGAATAGAAGATGGACTGGTAGGGATAGAGGCAGTGAAACCAGTTAGGGGTTATAGCGGTGCATCGGGCAAAGGGTAATGATGGTGTGAACCGACAATGTGAAGCTGGAGGCATATAGATGAATGAAGGAAAGGGGCCCAGATGAAGAGGAAGACTTCTAGAACTTGAAAATGAATTGGATGTGGAAGTGAGGGGGTGCTGGTAGACACACCTTCCTGAGCCTCCTTCTCATACTCCTAAATGTCTTGGAATGCCAAGAGTGCTAGGTGTCCATTGCTTTTTCCTTGGGCCATTTCTTGCCTTGGAGCAAGGCAACCTTGGGTAATGAGGTACTATCTCCCTTTGGGACCAAGAGCAGGCTCTTACTGCTTACTATAAAAGCAAAGGATTCCCTGCGCTCACTGTTCCTCAGTTGTGATGCAAACCCATGGTGTATGTAGTATTTTTCTGGGCCTTCTGGAGTCTTGTGGGACAAGGTAGGCAAAGAGGACCAATGCAAATATGATGCTCCTGCCGCTTGCTGCACGGTGAGTAACAAAGATTTTTGTCTCTGATTCAAGAATCTTGTGTTTTCCTATGAAACAGTAGTGTCTCCTATGCCATAAGTAACAGGCTAAGTTATTAGCTTGTAAATTGGGGAAAACCAACCCAGAGCTGGCAGGGAGAAGGATAATTTCTGGCTTGAGTGACTTGGTGTCAAGTGGTGCCTTTTACCAGGAGGAGGAACTGGTATGTAGGAGCAAGATAATGAAGTCAGTCTTACTGATGTTGTTTTTTACTGACAACTAGGTATGGTCCTTATAATAGGTATTGATAATAGGAGTTCACTGACCTGTTGGTAACTTCTGCTCCCAACTGAAGCAGGAATAGAAATCCCCAGAGGCTAGCCAATCACACCCCAGCATGACACTCAGCTTCCCACCTCTGCGATCCTTTGGTGTATTCTGTTAGTGCTTTCCCAGAATGCAGGTAGGAAATAAACTTCTTAGGAGAAGCCGAGTAATGCGAGTAATCAGTTGAGACTTACTCATTTTATTTGGTTAAATGGGAAGCATTATCCAGTAACTGCAACTCTAGCAAGAAAATTTTTTCTGGGAACTCCTCACAGACTACCTTCTCCTCTCTCATTCCTGGTGGTTCCAGCAGAGAACCAGTGATGGAAGAAAAAAGGCATTTGGGATGAGAGAGAGAGGAGGAGTGACAGTAGACGAAAGAACAAATCTAAGACATTTTCATCATGGGCAGGGATTCTGTCTACTGCAAGGGCTCAATAAAAGTTTTTGAAAAAATTCTCCATTTGCTTTTTATTGTAACCCATTACACAATCCTAAACAATTCCTGTTCATATTTTGATAACTAAGATTTTAATACTTTTTTTTTTTTAAGGCACGGATGCAACTGATAAAATAGCTCTGGTCACTTACCCGGTCATTCAAAAGCTGATGGTTTAGAGGTGTCCAGGTACTCATCTTTGTCTGCATTTTGGGACCATCTATGCTTTTTGGAGGTGCAAATGCCATCATGAAATAACGGACTATTCTTCCATAAGAAAAACCATACCTATCAGAAGAAATGAATCTTCAGAATACTAAAAATACTAACACCATACCATCTTTTAGTACATTGAGATAGAGAACTGGGGGGGGGGGGGCGGGGAGAACATTTACTGGGAGAATTTTACAGGTCAGGCACTTTATACGCATGCTCAATTAAAGCTCATAACAATCTGGTGAGGTAGTGGGTTTCAGCTCATTTTATAGATGAAGAAAATGAGGCTCATTGACATTACACACCCTGCCTAACTTTATACAGACAGTAGGTTGTGGAACTAGAAATCAGATCAGGTCTATTTAAATCACTCTTAGCTAAGAACATACCCTAATGGCCAGAAAGAAGTCTTTTAATTTATAAAATCATAGTGCAATAGAAAGCACTCCATCCTGGTCCCTTGTGTCTTTCTTCCTCCCCCCTTTGTGATATCTAAGTAACAAGGGTTCTAGCTTGATATCATATTTAAGAAGTAGAATGATGTAATGGACAAAGCCAAGCCTTAGAGATGGACAGATTTGAGTTTACCGGGGGAAATGTGCTGTTTTTAGGTGCCCAGTATAGGTTTACATTCATTTGATTAAAACATTTTAATTTCCATGAAGAATTACTTTCCCCTCATTGTTTAGAATCTGTGGGTTGGTTAATCAAGGTGGCCTCACCTTCTCCAGCTAAGACCTGGTCATGAGACCAAGCTAGGCCAGTTGGACTGACGCTAGCTCATCCTAAACTTGACAGCTGAGGTGGTTGTTCACAATAGCATCGATGCTCTGTTAAGTTGCTTCTGCTGCCTCACCCCTCAGAAGCCCCTTGTCCTTTCTTGCCCATTTTTTGTGAGCCACCTGATATCCTTGCAGTAAATTTCTTCTTTTCGCTTACTTACATTGCAAATATTATATTTGCTTACATTAAAAAATTACAAAACTTTTTACCTTTATACAGGTTTGATCCTGGCTTTAAAACTTACTAGCTATATAATGTTTTGCAAATTATTCAGTCTATCTGAGCATTCAATCTATCTGCATCTACTTTCAACCACTGTTTCAAAGATAGGAGAAAATGGGTCCAGCAGAGTGCCTGACAAATGGGCAGTCTCAGTAACTAGTAACTTTCCTGCAGTCTTTCTTAGAACTTTACAGAGTGCCTCAAAACTTATCAGAGGGGGGCACCTGGGTAGTTCAGTTGGTTGAGCATCTGCCTTCAGCTCAGGTCATGATCTCAGGGTCAAGCTCCCTGCTCAGTGGAGAGTCTGCTTCTCCCTCTCCTTCTACCCCTCTCTCTGCTCATGCTCTCTCTCTCTCTCAAATAAATAAATAAAATAGTAAAAAAACTATTAGAGGGCCATAGCAAAATATTTTAAGGTGGAAAACATTTAAAGCAGATTGAGGATAGTTTCAATATTACATCCTCAGAGTTTCTGCTTGCTTCTGCCTTCCTTCCTCTCTGAAGGTGGGTTTCATATCAGAAGGTGGTAGTGGTGACTGAGAGAGCCAGGGCTTGCCTGCATGATCTATGGGCTCCAAAAATTACTCTACAGAAGCAAAGATTGGACAATTAAAAAAAAAAACACATTACTTTTTGGCTGATATGGGATTCCCCCAAAAGCTAGATCTGAAATCTTTGAGGCTCTCCCTTGACAGGTAATATTCGCTCTCAGGTTTGAGTTATAGCTGAAGATAAAGCCAATGTCTGAAAACCACAGGGGCATCATTACACAATCCTTCTTGGTAGTTGCCTACTGCCACCAAACCACTGGTATAAAGTGGACTCACATCAGCACTCACGTTCTTCCCAACCTCTAACACCTAATTATCTGAGTCACACATGTTTAGCCAAATTGCAAAAGGCATAAGAAATTATTTCATTACAGTATTATTAATTGGCAGCTATAAAAGTACGTGTGAGTGGGCAAATTATAGATACAAAGCATGGTCTCTGAGCCTAGATCTGCCCAGTTAAAAATCATGTTATTTCTTTTTTTTTTTTTATTGTTCTTATTTATGTCTGATCTTTCCTCTCTTTAAACCAGTTGTTTTTAATCTTTTTTTTTTGAGGGCCATAAAACTCTTCGAGAACATGATGAAAGCTATGAATCCTTTCCCTACAAAACTGCACATGAACATAAAATTTTGCTTACCCCAGGTGAAAAACTCCCGCTATAAGCTGAGAACTTTCTAGTTTGTGGAGGAAACAAGCTAGGCACAATTTCTGAATTAAGACAAAGTAGCTTCTCTTGGGCTTTCCTAAGGCCCTGCACTGGATGTTTTCTTTTTCCTGGTTCCTAACAGTTAGAAATTATTTGAATTAGACTTTCTTCAATCAGCTTGGTTTTCAGGGGGTGGGGCTGGCCAAGAGAAACAGCCCTCTTGGTAATACAGTCCTGCTGAAGCATTCAAATGTGGTTATCCTGCCCTTGCTTTCGTCATTATCCTTTTGTGGTTTTTTCCTCCTCCTTCCCTTCCAGAAGATGGGCACTGTACATATCTGCATGCACACACATGTTCACGGCATAAACACTCAGGACGACTACAAAGACAGACATTTTTATATAACATACACAAGAAAGAACTGTCCCCACTCTGTCAACAAGACAAAGCAAGTTGTCTTCCTCTCCTTCCACATATAAGCTTGCTGTTGTTTTTGGTGTGACCTCTTTCCACCTTAGTGGCTGTCTTTGAATGTTGATCTTTAATTTTTCTCTGAATGAAATGGAAGAAAGGGGTGCCTGGGTGGCTCAGTCGGTTGAATGTCTGCCTTCGGCCCGGGTCACGATCCCGGGGTCCTGGGATCGAGCCCCGCATAGGGCTCTCTGCTTAGTGGGGGGTCTGGTTCTCCCTCTGCTCCTCACCCCACTCGTGCTCTGTCTCTCATAAATAAATAAAATCTTAAAAAAATATAAAAAATATTTTAAAAAGAAAAGGAAGAAAGAGGGTCTTTGGCCCTAATCCTCAATGTATGGTTCTAGTTCCACAACTAGGATGGGTCCTCTGGTAAAGTTTCAATGGTCACAAACCTCCAATCCCATTTTCTGAGCCATTCCTCACACTGCAACCATTATTTGACTTTACTAAGGACCTATTAGTCCTGTGTCAGGGGGTACAAAGATAAGAGTCTCTGCTTTAATAGAGCATGCAGTCTACTGTTAGAGAGGGGTTTTTTTTTTTTTTTGCAAAAAAATGTATATACTTACAGTGTACAACTTAATATTTTGATATATGTATACATTGTGAAATGATTACAATCGAAGTATTTAACACATCCATCACCTCCCATAGTTACCATTTGTGTGTGTGTGTATGGGTGTGGTGAGAACACTTGGGAACTACTCTCTTACTAGTTTTCAAGTATAAAACATATTATTACTAATTATAGTCACCATGCAGGACATTAGATCTCCAGAACTTACTCATCTTATAACTGAAAGTTTGTACCCTTGGATCAATGTCTCCCCATTTCCCTCACCCCACAGCCTCTGGTAACCACCATTCTACTAAGGGAAATATTTTTTTTTTTTAAAGATTTTATTTATTTGAGACAGAGAGAATGAGAGAGAGAGAGCACATGAGAGGGGGGAGGGTCAGAGGCAGAAGCAGGCTCCCTGCCGAGCAGGGAGCCCGTTGCAGGACTCGATCCAGGGACTCCAGGATCATGACCTGAGCCGAAGGCAGTCGCTTAACCAACTGAGCCACCCAGGCGCCCTAAGGGAAATATTTTTTAAAAGACCAGTTGAGGGGCACCTGGGTGGTTCAGTGGGTTAAGCATCTGATCCCAGGGTCCTGGAATGTAGCCCAAGTTGGGCTCTCTGCTCGGCGGGGTGTCTGCTTCTTCCTCTCCCTCTGCCTGCTGCTTCCCCTGCCTGTGCATGCTCTCTCTCTCTTTCAAATAAATTAATAAAATCTTAAAAGAAAAAAAGACCAGTTGATTGTGTCACTTTTCAGCTCAAAAACCTTCAGAGGCTCTCTGATGGCTACAACATAATCAGAGTCCTTAGCATGGAAGTCTAGGTCCACTATGAATTTACCTCAATCTACCTTTTCAGCCTCATCCCCTGCTCTCTCCCTTCATGCACTATCTGCCCAGACACACTGAACTTTGGTACAAAACAACTAGTACAGAACTCTGATGCTTCTTTCCTCATGTGGTTTTCTTACATTGCTCACGTGAATCCTAATCCCACTGCTACATAATTGGTGCTCAAATATTTGTCAAATCAACTGAATGAATGAATACAATAGTGGAGAAGAAGCAGTTTAAAGATTAAAACTAATAGAAATGTAGGATAAAACTCACAACATTATGAACTGAGCACTGGAATTAAACTCAGGACTATCGGGTTTTTATTTGGAATTTACAGAGCAGAATAGGATTGAGTTTCTCTGCCAACACACATTGTACATTGCAGGATCATCAGAGAAGGAAATGATATCATCGTGAAACAAGGTATGGTTAGATTTAAATACAAATTCATCTTATATTCAACTAGTTAGAAACAAAGCAAAAGCTACACTAAAGACAAAGAGCTAGTGTTTGATAGGCACAGAAATAAACTGTTGTTGTTAATTTCGTAAGTATGAAGCATCTGGCACTTTAACTGCCCTTGACACGGAGCAAAACGTCATCCCCAGGAGCACTAACAAGGTTTCCGAGAGGCCCAGGAGGATCTCAGAGTGGAGCTCTGAAGAGTCTCCATCCTTCTCAGGCACTGCCCACTGCTCTCACCTCTTTCAGCTCACCGCCCTCTTCAAGCCTCAAGCGCTGGTGTTGCCATGGCAGCCTTTTCTTTGCCTCTGTCCAGCCCCCACCCTTCTTCCAGTAATCCAATCACCACCCATAAATCCTTTCGCTGGCATCCGGGGTCTCTTAGGCAACAATGTGTGGTCTCTTGATTGGCCAAGAGATTCGGGAGGGCTGGCTCCAAAATTCGGCACACGGATAATCGTAAGAAGCCCGAGCGCCAAGAGGGTGGAAGGGGCTGCAATCTCCCAGTATAACGCTGGGAGAAAGATGTGGCCAACCCTAACACAAGCAGCACTGACAGGCACTCAAGACATATTTGTGTTCCAACTGAGGGCAACCTACTGAGCATGCCCAATTATAGTTCTCTGGTCATTCCGGGGCTCCGAAATGTAAACTCCACTTTTCCGGGTTTTAAGAGTGGCCAACAGGTAAAACGGGGTAGGAGGAAAAAGAACAGGCCGCTGGTTCAGTGGAAGAATAGCACCTGCAACCGGAAGTGGAAGGACGTGGGAAAATTGCCCAACACACAAACTCACAAATGATTCAACATGAATTTCAACGGGAATTCAGGATGACTGACAGATACACCAGGGAACCAGCAGATGGCATGGCTTAATAAGAATAACTACAAATTTGGGAAATTTTACAGTCCGGTCTAATTTAATTAAATTTCTTGAGCACCCACCATGTAATAATAAGGGGCAGAGTGAGAACACAAGGATAAAAAAGATCTAATGAGAAAGACTGGAAAATGCAGTGTGTAAATAACAAATATAAGGCCCACATTGATAACTGTTGTGATAGAACTATAAACACGTGCTGGAGAACAACCAAAAATTCAAAATTCCAGACGGAGCTACTTCGGTAAATACAAAGCAGTTCCTATGGGCAGCAGGTAACAACAAAAAGACAAAACAAAAACCCCCCAAACCTTCACTATCTTATGCTTCCTAAAGTAGGTAAGAATATGCTCTCGTCCAACTTAAACAAATGTAAACCTATGTTTGTATTGTTCCATAGTTTTGAAATAGGCAGCATTTGTATATCTCCAACTTGAAATAGAAGAGTGAAGCTCATAGAGATTGTTGCTTCCCTTGAGTTAACAAAGGATCTGTAAGTGGCCAAATTGAAATTAGAACCTAGGTTGTCTGAATTCCAGCCTAGTGGTTTTTCCACATGATCAGGTTGTATGTAAATGAATAAACAAAGCCTTTGGTGGGGGGTAGGGGTCTGGGGGAGGCAGTCGACGCAATACTAAATTACCATGTACAGTATTACCAGTTAACATTTATGGTTTCAAAACGGGTTCATCTAGAAAGAGACCAGTTTTAACAACATGCTATGTCTCTCTGTGAAGTTCCCACTCATTAAAAACTTTCTATTGGTGGTTACAACATGGAATGAGAGAGAGATGGGATAAAAGAAACCATTTCACTTTATCCCTGTTGAATTTGCATAATTTTATACCTGAAAATAAGCTCCCTGTCGACTGTCCTCTCAACCAGCACCCTCTGGGCATCTGCTTATCCAGCACCTCATCTGTCTAACTGCAGATGCTCCCTTCCCCTCTGACCTCAATGACATCAGTCAGGCTATGTTCATAGTGAACACACCAGCTCAATGTCTGAAATACTTCAACATTACTTCAAACATAGATAAATTTAGAGACTACATTAAGAAACACCCTTGTATCCCCACCAAAAATTTTAAAAATATTAACATTGTTGCTTCATGTGTGTGATTTTGTATACTTTACAGATCTGATTCCCCTCTCTGCCTGTCTAGAGGCAACCACTATCTATGAAATTGGTGTGTAGCCTACTTGTCCATTTTTTATGCTTTTTACATGTAAGCATAAACAATATGGCTAGATGTTTTTAAAGAGATACAATAATTTACGTATCTTGTAGTTTGCTTTTTTAAAAATATTTTATTTATTTATTTGACAGAGGGAGAGAGACAGTGAGAGAGGGAACACGAGCAGGGGGAGTGGGAGAGGAAGAAGCAGGCCTCCTGCTGAGCAGGCTGGGCTTGATCCTGAGCCTAAGGCAGATGCCTAACGACTGAGCAGGCGTCTCTAGTTCGCTTTTTTCAATGTTATATTTTTGAGATTTAATCATGTTGATACATGCAGTGATAATTTCTACATCACTCCCACCTTCCCATTAGGGGTATGATATGTCCTATGCCTGACAGTTTTCATGGGATGGTGTGTAAATTGCATAAAAATACATTAGCTGCACGTCTTCAGAGGTTCTGCAGGTACAAAGGATCTGGAAATACATGAAGCAAGCACACACAGATTTTCACATACACAATTTGCCTACTCACTCACCCTCAGAAAAGGCAGTGTTGCCTCAACAGGACATACTGACTTGCTTAGAATCAGCTGAAGGATCTGTATTACTTAAAAAAAAAACCAACTATTACTGCTCAAATATTTACTAAGAAAATTGAAATGTCACTTCAGATCTCATTTATTATGCTTTCCCCCATAGCTCACCATCTGATGTTAAACTATATTTATGACTGTCTAAGCTCAATACTCATTATTTATTTATTTAACACTTGAGTGCCTTTTAAAAATTGTGGTAAAATACACTTCACATAAAATTTACCATTTTAACCATTGTTTAAGTGTACAGTTGAGTAGTGGCAAGTATATTCACATTGTTGTGCAACAGGATCAATATTACTTTAAGACCCATGTGCTATCAACAGAACAAAATGATGCCTGTGACGTCTAGCTTGCAAAGGGAGGAAAAGGAAGCGAAAGGTAGGTAAAACAGCATAGTAAAAAGGACAGCCTTGGCTTTGAATGAATCCGGACTCCTATTAAAACTCTGAAATAATGCAATATATGTTAAGGAAAACAAAAAAAAGGAAGAAAAAGAAGAAGATAGCAGGAGGGGAAGAATGAAGGGGGGGAAATCGGAGGGGGAGACGAACCATGAGAGACGATGGACTCTGAAAAACAAACTGAGGGTTCTGGAGGGGAGGGGGTGGGAGGATGGGTTAGCCTGGTGGTGGGTATTGAGGAGGGCACATTCTGCATGGAGCACTGGGTGTTACGCACAAACAATGAATCATGGAACACTACATCTAAAACTAATGATGTAATGTATGGGGATTAACATAACAATAAAAAATTAAAAAAGAAAAAAAAAGCTGCGTGACTCTGGGTAAGTCATTTAACCTTTCTAAGCGTTCTTTTCCTCGTCTGAAAAATGAGAGATTGGGTTTAGATGATCTTTAAGAACTCTTTCAGCTCTGAAATGATTTATGTAGAAGAGAAGGGAAACATTTTCTACGGAGAAAAAGATGGGGGAATGCTACCAATAACCACAAGCTCCACCTGTGCACTAAGGTGTTGGCCACGCGGATATAAACTGTTCCCAGGCAGCTATCCAGTCTGCTCTGTTGTTTAAGCGTGAAGCTCTGCAACAGGCCAGATGCTTCCTCCTATCTGCACCCAGTGCCACCCTCAACATCTGTAACCTTACTCTTGACAACTCCAGTTCCCGGGGGTCCCTAGGTCAGCACACTCGTTCTCAGAACAGGTTTTGGCGGTCTTGCAGTAACAGCATCCCGGGCTTGGGTGATGAGAGTCGCCGCGCTTTCTCAGCAGGGCAGGGAGGGCTTTTGCAAAGAGGACTGAGTGCATTTAAGAAAAACGTTTCCAGAGTTCGAAAGCCCTCCGCCGGAGCAGGACAGGGCAAGGCGTCACCCGAAGCACGAGGTAGAGAACAACCCAGCCCAGAGAGCAGGTACCTCTCAGCGGGGCTCAAAATGGGAGCGTTCGGTCGAGTGTGCGCAGCGCGCCTGCGTCGTGCGTGCGCGCGCGGGCGCGCTCGCTCCCCGGGCCGCGCGCCCCGACGCTCCCGAAAGCTCGCGTTCGCTCCGAGGCGGCGCGCGCTGTTGGTCCTCGCTGCTCCGTTTACCTGAGAGACCCGTGGGCGCCCCGGGCCGGCGCTGCAGCCCCCTTGGAGCCCGGCCCCGAGGTGTGAGGTGAGCGACGAGGCGTGCGGCTCCCCGTCCGGCTTAGCTGGAAAAGGGCGCGGGCAGTGTGGGGAATGAGGAGGTGCCGCCGCGGCTGCCCGCTCCTCTGCCTAACCCTGTGCTGAGGAGCCACCAGCAGCTCCGGCACCTCCTCCTCAGGGATCGTTATTCTCGTCGCGGCCAAAACAAAAGCCTTCGGCGCCAGGCTGTGGCGGGGTGTCGGAGGGGCTCCTCGGGACCCACGGCGGGCCGAAGGGGTGCGGAGGAGCCGAGTTTGGGGTGCGGGCTGAGGTGGGCAAATGCTCGGGAGATTATTAACCCTCTGCATCCTAAGCCCGCGCCGGGCAACCTGTGCGAGTGTGGACCGCGGCTCCCTCTCCGCCACCCCCGGCCCGAACCCTGGGCGGAGGAGGGTGTCTGGGATGGGCGCCCACTGTGTGGGTCGGCGCCGCGGGGGCGCGTGGCGCTCCTCGCTCGCGGGAGCGTGGGTGGAGGACGCGGTGGCAGCGGCGGCGGGGGGGAGGACAATGCATCTAGGGCTCCGGCGCCTCGGGCGCTTGGGGCCGGCCCGAGACCCACGTTAGAATTGCCCCTTGACTAGATGTTGTTTTAGCATTTGGCCGACCTTTTATTTCCAACGCTTAAAAGTTGTCCCCTCCATCCCATCAGTTTCCAAAGTCTGCACTCCCTCCCAAATGCTTCCCCCAGCTGCCCTCTTTTATGCTCATGTGTATTTGCCGTGACGGTACTGCTGGGTAATTAATAGATGGCCTCTCAAATAAAGGTGCTGTAAAAACATTTCAAGACATTTTAACATCTTCCCAGAAGCTCGTTAAATCTCAGGAGTCTTGGAGTTAGGTGCCTCCTTGTAGGAGAAAGAGGGCTTTTTTTTTTTTTTCTTTTCTTCCTTTTTTTTAGAACAAAAGCGCATGCCATTAATTTAGGTATGGGATAGATTGGAAGTTGAAAAGTATCTATCCAATAAAGGAGGTCCAATTTTTTGCCCAGAATTAAAATGAAATTTTGAATTTTGGTTCCTTTCTGAATTTGGGCAGATGCAGCATCAGAGCAGACCAACAGCTATAAAAATGACTGCTGTATAAAAGTATCCAAACAAAATCTTATTTTATAAAAGTAGTTTTGATAGACTGTAACGTTTATTTGCGGGAATTGGGTTACTTTGCAAAGCCAATACCGCAAGAGCAAGGAAACAAAGACCTGAATGACATGAGGGATGTTACCTCCCTCTTCAACCTTCTTTTAGTCTTCAGTGGTGTGCTGACAGTCTAAGGAATAGATAAATCCTTAGTTCTGTTATTAAGAAGCAAGATAATGCTTCCCATCCATACTTTCAAGCAAATCAATACTCTCTTTTTTTCTCCAGGAAAAAAAAAGGGGGTGGGGGCATTTACATGAACTACCAAGCCACAGCATAAGGGTAAAAAGATTCAGAGTTAGGGAAAGTAGGAAAGCTTAATGGGTGGGCTTGAAGGGATGGAGTTGAAGATAAAATATAATTAAGATGCAGCCCTTCTCTTACCCTCTTGCCTTTTATTTAGTGAAATGTTCCTCCTCTACCCACCAAATGTTTTGAAACTATCAGGAGAATAAGTAAATAATAAAATCTACCATCCTGCCTTCTCTTTCCTACTATTTTTTTTTTTTAAATCTCATCCACTTACTAATACTCTCTACCTCTACACTTCTCCCGAATCTATAACTGTCCCATTAATAGTAGAAGAAATGACTGTTGTCTCTTTCATTCTTTTCCCCATCTTAGCCACTATATTTTTTTGGGCTTTATTTTGTGCTTTGAACATTTAGGTAGATTTTTCTTGGGAGTTCCACGATTGAGGTATTTGAAGTAGGGAAGGTTGAGAGGAATTTAATAAAGTGCACATTCTTCCTGTGTATAGTACAGTGTGGAAGGCTTTGTCATTGGGGAAGGAGAAAGGAGTTTTTCACTCATAATAAGTCCTCTGTTTCCCACTTCAGGAAAAATTCTCTACCCATCTTAAATTTCATATTAGTTTGTTAGTAAAACTATAAGATTGTATACTCAAAAGTAATTCTGAGCATATTAGTTTGTTGATGTTAGGCTTCTGTTGACTTTATTTTCTTTAGGAAATGTGTTAGGAGACAGTTCTTACATCTTTACCTTTCACAGAGGAGAGTGATGTTGGCCTCATGTTTTATTTATTTATTTTTTAACTCCTAAAACTCTAGAACTGTGGCTGCTTAAACCTGTAGCTGCTGACGAAAAGAGCAATAATGCAAATAAAAAGAATGATTTGGAAAATGTCTGTTGAAGAAATTATTCAATATAGATTTGAGGAAAGAGTAACAACTCTTTACTGGCTAGGAAGGAGTTTTAACTGATGATTGCATCAAATGCTTTTCACTTCATTATCCTGAGAACTATTGACACTTTTGCTGGATCCAAGGAATGAAGTATATAACTAGGCTACTGGGGGCGCCTGGGTGGCTCAGTTGGTTGGGCAGCTGCCTTCGGCTCGGGTCGTGGTCCCAGGGTCCTGGGATCGAGCCCCGCATCGAGCCCCCTGCTCGGCAGGGAGCCTGCTTCTCCCTCTCCCTCTGTCTGCCGCTCTGCCTACTTGTGTTCTCTCTCTATCTCTGTTAAATAAATAAATAAAAATCTTAAAAAAAAAAAAAAACTAGGCTAGTGAGCTTAAAAAAAAAATCCTGGTTTCTAAATTTTATCTCACTGAAATAATTTTATAGTCAAAGCATACAAACCCTGCTAAGGGAAAAAGTTGGGCTTGATATTAGGGGGTTTTCTGATGAGTAGATCTTAATTGGAAGGGGAAACTGGGCTGGAATTTCAATCAATTTTTTTTTTGTTTGTTCAGAATCTGGCCATCTTTTAACTTTCCATTTTGTTTTTTTGAAGATTTTATTTTGTAAAGTAATCCCTACACCCAGCGTGGGGCTCTAACTCACAACTCCAAAATTAAGAGTCACGTGCTCCACCCACTGAGCCAGCAAGATGCCCCATTAACTTTCCATTTTTCTTTTCAGGTTAGTTTTAAAAGATCTTCTGCTTTCTTTAGTCTTAAAAGTAAATTTTAATTTGTAAAATGGACTGGATTTTGATCCAGTCATTGATGCCTATCATTCATTTTAATTTTGAACGTAGATGTGTTTGTTTTTCCTGTTTGGTTTTTTTAAGCCCTATCATCACTCAGCACATTGGATGTTTAGGTTATTTGTGGAAATAGGTAGATGCCCAGATGGACTTTAAAAATTAGATGAAATAGAGCAGAAAAGAGATCCTCATTCAGAGATTAATAGGAATCTAAGCCCTATGAATTAAATATGAAGCTATATAAACTTAGCAACCAGGAAACAAAATTTTGAGAATGAATTCATTTTTTAAATAATAAGATGTGGAAAACAAAAGGCCAGAGGACACGTGGATTTTAGGAAAAGGAAAGTAATACTTAGCACAGTGAATATGCTCTGAGTGTATATTTTGTTTCTCTTACAATACAGTAATTTCCCTTAGAGGAGAAACTTCGTTATTTAGAGATAGTCATTGTTAATCCTTGCAGTGCATTCTTGGAAAACTGAAAGAAGACAAAGAATATCGCCCCTGTTCCGACTGTAGCCACTGTGTGTGAGGCAGCCTTCGGATAGTATTTCTGAATTGGAGATGCAAAATGTTGTTTATATTTATAAGGTGTCAAGAAAATTAAATCTAAACCAAGAATAATGAAATGGATCATTTTCTGTACAAAAAGTATGAATTGGAATAGAATTACTGAACCTAATCTTTTGCAGGACCCTCTTCACAGCCCTCAGGACCTACTTTGTCAGTATTTCTTCAGAATTCAGCCTGCTTTCCTCTTCACAGTTGCCACCTCCTGCTTTTCCCACCTAAGTTCTTGGGTCTGGTTTCGCAGCCAACCTGGAAAGACAGTCTTCCAAAATTGAATCTCCTACCCCTTTATTGCTGTTGTTCGGGACAAATACTCAGCTTATTTTATTTTAAGGGCTTTTACAATTTAACTGGTAGTTAGGGAGTATCAGATTCCTGATATTACACATTTATAAAAATTAGATGTCCTTTTGTTTTCTGATGGAATGATAATCAGGCAACTTAATCAGTTTTCCATGTATCTTACATTGCTCTATGGAGAAGTGAGTGTGCCTCTCTTCCCACAGGTAGGACGTGAACAGCTGTTGCCATATCACTCACTTTTTGATGGCCCCTGGCCCCTGAAGCTGTTTGCTCCAGTTATGTTCACTCAGCAGGTCCCTTTATTTATTTGAGATACGGCAGATTCCGATAATAAACAATATCAGTAAGAATGCCAAAATGACTGTTAACCTTTGTTTAATGAGTTGCTATATTTTGGCAGGACCTCTTTGGGTGCAGGATCTTCTCTATTTCCTGCAGGTCTGGAACTTCAACTTACAGCTTTTCCATAGATGACCCTACCTTAGGAAAAATGACTTTTGCTACCCATACAATCCTGTTTAGAAGTGGTATCTCATGTTATTGAAGAACGATTTGGAATATCTATCAAAAGTTCTTTTAAACTGTGCCTACCATTTGATTCAGCTGATCAGTGATCTGATTTTTTTCAATACTGAAAATCAGTTTTTACTCAAACTAAATTGATCATCACTTTTTTCCTTTTCTTACTGTCTGCAATAGGGCATTAGAGTGTCCCTTGGCTTGTTGCTTAATTAACAGCCAATAAATCAGTGATTCAACTAGTATTTATTCTTGTTAGCTAGTCCGCACACATTGGGAGGTTTAGCAGAGTTAATTATTCCATACACAGAATAATGTACCGTAGGTTCTTTTATAAAATCTCAGAGCATTTATAATATATTTAAGCAATTGAAATAGTTTTATTCTGTGCGTATATTTTTTGACAGAAATGGGATATGTATGCTGTTTAGAAAATTGTTTTAATTTTATTTTTTACTTACTGTATTGTTATGTCTTACCATGTCAGTAAATAGAGATCTTGCTCATCATTTTTAGTGACTATATAATATTCCACCATGTGGTTGTACCGTAGTTTTTTTTTTTTTTAATGAATCCCTTATTGGTAGACTTTTCAGTTATTTCTAGTTTTTTATTTTATAAACAGTGTTACTCTCACATATTTTGGTTATGCATCATGTGTACTTGTGTGCTTACTTAGAATAAATTATAGATTTGTTACATCAGATTGTGCACATTTTAAGGGCTTTTGAGGTAAGTAGCCGTTTTTAAAATACCAAGCGGTTTACAGTAGTATTTCTAATTGTTGGAATGTTGAAAATGTGCTTTTTTCTGCATCCTCTCCCATACTGTGTTCCTTCATTGTTATTTCTGCCTGTCTGATTGGCAAAAATGTTCTCTCATATTTGCATTTTTTTTATTAGTAAAGTCGAATATCTTCGTGTGTTCGTTGGTTATTTGTCATTCATTCATAAATTTATGTCCTTTTCCCATTTTCCTATTAAAGTTTTATTCTTTATCTGCTTTTATTTTTTGAATTTGTTTTAGGTATTACTTTCGCTAAGCATAAAATTATATTTAAATATACCTGTATTCTTTTTTTTTAAAGAATTTATTTATTTATTTGACAGAGAGAGAGACAGCGAGAGAGGGAACACAAGCAGGGGGAGTGGGAGAGGGAGAAGCAGGCTTCCTGCAGAGCAGGGAGCCTGATGCAGGGCTCAATCCCAGGACCCTGGGACCATGACCTGAGCCGAAGGCAGATGCTTAACCAACTGAGCCACCCAGGCGACCCTATACCTGTACTCTTTTAAATTACTCTATTTTAGGGTAGAATTTCTCAAAATGTGACTTATGGACCATTTGTAACAGTACCTGAGGTGACTGTTAGAATGTAGTTCATTCTCCAGAGATTCAGATTTCTAGACTTCTAAGGGGAATGAATAAATCTACTACACATTAAAATTAGAGAACCTCTTATTTGGAGGAAATATAAATTGTTTTAATATTTTTACTGCCTTATTTTCTTTTTGTCTTACTGAATTCACTTTTTATTTCAATAATCATAAACTACAGTCTTAAAATATTAAGATTTTCATCCTACTCCAGCCTAACAATAGATTTTACAGAAGTGTTTTGATATATGGTAATTTGGGTGTTGCATTACATAAAGGAAACTTTTATAAGACAGTGGGAAGCTTCACTTGTACATGAGGCAAAAGGAATAATTTAGAGGAAATCAGGTAAAATAAAGTAGGTAGAAGTATAAGGGGGTGTCCTCTAGTTTTAAAAATCCAATGAGGTGTTTCTCATTCCTTCTTTTATATGGTAGTCTTCCTTGAATCCACAAATTTGAAACACCTGTTTGAAAAATTAGTTTAGGGGCACCTGGGTAGAACAGACCGTTGAGCATCTGCCTTCGGCTCAGGTCATGATCTCAGGGTCCTGGGATCAAACCCTGCATTGGGCTCCCTGCTCAGCAGAGAGCCTGCTTCTCCCTCTTCCACTCCCCGTGCTTGTGCACTCTCTCTCTCTGTCAAATAAATAAATAAAATCTTTAAAAAAATTAGTCTAAATGAAATTTGAAAAATTCTTTAGTCTAAATGAAATTTGAAAAATTATTGGTATTACTATGTATATATTCAAAAAAGGAGCAATGTTCTCTTTAGTTTTTTGTTTTTTTGGTTTTTTTTAGTTGCAAGCAGATGAACATGCTGCATAAGCAATAAACTACAAAGACTAAACTTACATGGATATTTTAATACTGTGACCAAATAAAGCTTTCAGTAGTTATTTGACACATATTTAATGATATGCATAATTGTTACGTGTTGCACATAATTAAGCTTAAATATAAACGACTGTGTTTACTACCAGTTTTCTATAGCCAGACCTCACATTTCTGGGGCCAGCTTGAAGGAGGAAAAAAATATGGCAGGCTGTCGCAAAGATCTCTGACTTAGAGATTTTGCATAGAGAGAATAGTCATTTGGGGCAGGGATTGCTCATAACTTTAGTATTCCTGATTCGTAGTATTCCTAATTCATAGACTTTCCTTTTCCCTTCCAGCACTCAATACCATGTACTAGAGGAAGAAATTAGAGAGATTCAGCCACTGCTTTATTTTCTCCAAATAATTTTTTCTACTTAGTAACTAAAGCTTGGGATGCAGAGGTCCCAGGCATTGATAGTGAACAAAGAACAGTTTCTTTCCCTGCTTCAGTGAAACCAGTCCAGGTCTCAAGGCCTGAGCCATCATGGGCTTTAGGTTTTAAGTTGTCGTATTAACTTGGGTCTCTGAGAGTTTCTGAACCTGAACTCGTGTTTTTCGAACATAGGCTGTCCACAGCAAACACAGAAATAACCAATGTATATAAAACAAAATGAAATTAAATTTAACATCGTTATTAAGCCAAATGAAAGTATGATAGCTTAGTAAATGCTTTTTCCTTCCAGACCTACCTTTCGTTCTGCCCACACTCTCTCAGCCCCAAATAAGATATGTATTCTTGCCCCTGGAAAAGTAGGGGCAAGTCAAAAGAATCTAAAGCTTAGTGGAAACTGTACTGGGAATCATTCCTATTCCTGCTGTGATTTTTTTTTTTTTTAGGGATTTTTTTATTCTCTGCAGCCTGGCTGTGCAATGAAACATTTGTTAGTCAAATATTTCTACATCTATGATACTGTTTTTGCACTATCTAAAAAGATGATGTAATGTTGGAAAAATTTCTTGGTAGTGCTTTTAGAACCTTCTATCTGCCAGTTCAGTATTGGTTGATGGAGATAGCCCTTATATAACTAATTTAGTAATAAAATTACCTAATGTTTGATGCTGCTTTACCATTTTATAAAGTACTTTTACATATATTATCTCATAATTCACTCAGCATCCTTGTGAGAGAGTATTTTCAGGAGGAAAAATTCTGAGTTCAGAGAAGTTAAATGATATGTTTACACTTACACAACTAATAAGGGACTTGAATTCATGTCTTTCAATTTATTTATATTTCACTGTTTTCACAGATACTTTCTGCCAAGTCAATTAATGTAAAAATGCACTATTAATGATTAAAACACATATAAATTCAATAGTTTTGGTTATAAATATGGCAGATATTTAAAGATTTTATTTATTTATTTGTCTAGGTATGGCAGATATTTAAATTTAGGACAACAGCCTAAGAACTTTTCAAAATGGATCAATTATATCCTGTGACAAATGAAAACTGCCATTCTAGATAAGAAATTAAGCCATATGTTATATAAACAATTGAAGGAAGAAAATTTGCCTTTAAATTCTGGTTAAGGATTGTTTTAGTATATCTGTAGCATAAATGATAAAGTCGAAAAACTATACTATGTCTCTGAAATACCCATGTATTTTATCTATGAGGTCAGTATGATATCTCTCATCAAAGATTGTTTTCTTTATTTCTCTTTCTCATAGTTCGTTGTTGGTGTACGGAAACACAACTGATTTTTGTATATTGTTTTGTATCCTGCAACTTTACGGAACTCATCAAAGACTTTAGTATCAAGACTACAATATTTTGAGAGGAAATTACTGATACCTCCCATTAAAAAAAGTACTTTTCAGATATTTCAGTCAAAGGAAGAAATAGCTCTTCTCCTAAGATGGAATCTGTTGTTTGGGAATGTGGTTGATCAACTTGATATGTTGGCCAAATGTGCCCTATGTAATAAAATGAAAAGAAGAGACAAGATGATGTCATTTTCCCATATTGTGAAACCAAAAACAAATGCCTTTTGTGAGACCAAGCTAACAAACCTCTGACGGTGCAAAGAGTATTTAACTGTTTGAAGAACTTAACAGTAAGATATAGAAGAAATACTTTCAAGCTGAGACCTGCAGGTGTATAAAGATCTAAAATACATATTGAGTAGGCCTGATCATCCAAATCTCATTCAGATCCAGGAAGGATGGCTGTAGGTTGGATCGTCTTCTACTTTTGGCCCTTGACTATGTTTGTGGGACATATAGGTGGGCACAGTTTGTTTTCTTGTGAACCCATTACCTTGAGGATGTGCCAAGATTTGCCTTATAATACTACCTTCATGCCTAATCTTCTGAATCACTATGACCAACAGACAGCAGCTTTAGCAATGGAGGTAAGACTTGATCTATTATTTGACATATCTTAGACGATGATTCTTATATTGTCTTATTAACTAATCTAATGAATGTGTCTGATAAAAAAAAACAGAAGAATGTTATTTTTAACTATATCTTGTACATTAAGAAGTTATATATTTAGGTTCAAGCGCTAATAGATTGAAGAATTGATGTTTGGGGAGTGTTACTCTTGACCTATTTTTAGATATGCTTTTATAAAGAAATATGAAACACTTGGAACATGGGAAATAATAGCCATTCAGAAGTTTAAAATTGTCCACGTTATGATATGATTCCATTTTTTTCTGTTTGGCTGTTAATAAAACCTCAGATAAAGAGTAGAATATAATAATAGTCACAGTTCAGTCCTTAACTATTGAAGGTAATGTGATCTTGTAAAATAAGTTCTTTGTTCAGCCTATAGGCTGGTGGTTTATGGTATTTGAATTTTCTTAAAATTTTAAAAAATTTTTCTGGTTTTACCATCACATCAATTTAAGAATTATAACTCCTGATGAACAAAAAGGTTTGGTTGTATAAATTATCTGTTCTTGACCTCTCCAAATTTTATGAAAATGTGTTGCCTTACCTGAATTTTTCTAATGGTAATTCTTCAGGTAACTTTTTAATGATTTTACTTTAGAAACTATGAAAAATTAATGAATATAGTTAACAATAGGTTTAAATAAGTATGCATTCATTTCTATAAGGGTTTTAGAATTCTGAACAAGGATAATATGTTTACCAGATAGGAACTAGGAGGCAGCAGGTGGTGGCAATAGGGAGCACAGGCTTTGGAGTTATACAAACCTAGGTTTGAATTCTAGCTCTACCATTTTCTAGCTTTATTACTTTGAGTAAATTATGTGAGCTTTCTTACCATAGTTTCTTTGCTTGTAAAGTGGAGCTAATAATAATTATACAGAGAATGTTTTGTATTTTAGTCTGTAATCTATTATAGTGCTTTCAGCACATTGAAGCCTACATGTTTTGGAAAGCTTCATTTTATGGTAAAACCCAAAGACTCATTACTTCCAACTAGACTACATAAATTTGTCTAGGAAAATTTGTAGAAAGATTATTATTTATAGATTTTGAAATGTGGAGGGCATCTTATGTGTTACAAATATATGAAAATATTACAGAGATTGAACAAAACATTTTCTGCTCTTCTGACTATATAAGGTCTAATGATAGAGAAAGACTTGGTATAGACTATCAGATTAGGTTATGAAAATGGATATTGGTTTAATACATGAATTTGGTTCTGGACATAGTAGTCCTTACTGTGTATTAAACCATCAATTCTCCTATAAAAAAATTGGAGTAGGAATACCTTTGTTTTTAGTATCATTAAGTCAGTATAACTGCTTTAAAAAGCAAATAGGGTACTAAGATGCAAGTCATCAAGATATTTGAACTGATTTGGGTTTGACTTTTGTCTCTGCTTTGTAGTAGCTTTGGACTTTGAACAAGTCACTTAACAAGTCCCTTAGCCTTGGTTTCTTCATTTGTGAAAAGGCAGTAAATGACAAAAAACCTTGAAGGGCTGTTAGGGTTAAACTTATAAAGTAGCTAGCAAAGTGTATGGCACACAGCAGGTTAACTTCAAATGTTAATTCTATTCCAAATATCATTTCTAAATGATCCTAAAGAGAAAGTACTAGAAGAATAATGTATTTGTTCCAAGTGACCTTGCATTCCAGGTGTAGGCTCTTGGGACATTCATAATAATGGCATAGTAAGCTATCACTGCCCTCTTCCCAGAGTTGCCTGTGCAGTCTAGATATTTTATTGGCAATAAGGTTGCTTCTGTTTAAATTCCACACATTCTGGGGAGAGCACCAAAGTGGGCAATATCTTCTAAGAGAAAGCTCTAGTTCTTTGAAGTAAATAATGTTGCAGATAGTTGTTTGTTGCATGGTTGTCATATCAAGACACTAACACCACTGACAGAATTGGCAGACGGTTTGAGAGTGTAAAGTTTCTGTAATAGCAAAGGGCATGGAAACTCAGCAGTTTCCACCCTTCCAGAAGGAAGTAAGGATTCTTGGGTTCTTACAAGGGCTCCAGTCTGCTGATGATACCCTCTATCTCTGATCTTAGAATGTGTCTGTCAGCTTTTACCAGGAGCGAGTAATTGGAGCAATTGAAGCACATTTTTGAGTGTTCACTGTGGGACAGGGTGAATTGAAAGATAATTTCTTAGGGCTAGCATCTTTCTGCTGGCCCGTATTTCAAGTCTGCCTTGGGTTCACTCCTGTACTGATTGGGTGAATCATAATGAGTGCCTGTAATAGAATAGTATATGGCAGTGAGCTAGGATACCACAGATGAGAGAAAGTACAGAATCTGGGTTATTTCAAGTATGATTGTTTACAGTCAGTTTGCTGTTCTTTCATTGTAGGTATAAGATTCTTTGTACTTTCATTGAAATTGGGACATGTTTAAATAAATGGGATAATGTAAGTGTCAAGTCATTAAGTTGGAAAGAAAAGATCTTTGCTAATATGTTTATTATTTCTCTATCTGTCCCTTCTAAAATGTAGTCATCTATACACAAACACACAACTAAATTTGTATGAGTTCTTAACTTGGTATCTTTTCCCCTATCAGTGGCTTTTGATCGAAAAAAACATCTCATTCCTGAGTTTCCTAAACCATTTTGAGCTGTCCAAATGGCTAAGTAAATTTTTGGGAGCTGTCCAGCATGGACAACAAATTGTCAACAAATTGTTAGTAACTGTCTTTACCAACCACACATTATTAGGTATTTGTGACTGCAGTAGTAATGAAAGAGATCTGAACAGCCTTTCCCCCTATACTGGATAGTTAAATACAGTTGAATAGGAAGCAGACAGTTTGGTGAAAAAAACATTGAAATGGGGATAGGAAATTTGTATTTTGCTGCTAACTAGTTTTGTAACTTCTTTATGTTGGTTTCCTCTAGGAAGTAAATTTTTGTCCCTATCCATTTTATAAGGTTGTTAAGATCAAATGATGTGGAATGCCTGGGTGGCTCAGTTGGTTAAGCGTCTGCTTTCAGCTCAGGTCATGACCCCAGAGTCCTGGGATCAAGCCCCACATTGGGCTCCCTGCTCAAGCAGGGAGCCTGCTTCTCCCTCTCCCTCTGCCTGCCACTCCCCCTGCTTGTGCTCTCTCTGACAAATAAATAAATCTTTTAAAAAAAGGTCAAATGATGTAAATGGTATGTAAATTTAAAAACTTTGAAAAATTAAAGTGCTGTGTGAATGCAAAGCAGTAGTCCTTGTTGCCTATCACCCTGTTTAACTTCAGTTGGTGTGTGGAACAAGCATTCATCCCCTTATGATGATGATCACTTGTCTACTCTTTTTTTTTAAGAACGAGAGAGAGGGAGCCCACATACTTGAGTCGGAGTCGGACGTGGGGGTGGGCACAGAGAGAGAGAATCTTAAGCAGGCTCCATGCCCAGTGTAGTGCCTGATGCAGGGCCCGATGCCATTACCCTGAGATCATGACCTGAGCCGAAATCAGGAGTCACTTAACTGACCACCAAGATGCCCCTACTCTTTTTTTTTTTTTTTTTTTTAAGAAACTAGACTGCTATAGGAGAATCAGAGGAAGAAACTCTTGGGATTGTTTGTGTTTGCCTCCATTTCTTGTTTTCTTTTGTCATCCTCATTAAAGATGTTCTGTAGCATGGAAAGCTGGCAGCGGGTTACATCCTTCAGGGAACACAGAACCTAAAAGCTCAATTTCCTGGTATCTTTTATGATTCATTAAGAACAAAGCACGTTTGAACCAGTCTTCATGTTATCCAAACTCAAACTGTAACTTAAAAAAAAAACCCACCTTTTTATTATAGATAATTTCAGTTTTATAGAACTATAAGAGTATAATGGACACCATATACCCATTACCTATCATCCAGCTTCAAAAATTATCAACTCACAGCTCATTTTGTTTCATTTATGACTGTACATCCAACTGGGTTACTTTGAAGCAAATCTCAAACACCATAGTTTCATCTATAAATATTTCTGTATATATCTCTTAAAAAGTAAGAACTGTTTCAAAATGTCTAAGTATTATCTTTATCACTTCCTCCATACCATCAACTCTCCAGTTAATTCAAATTACTCTGATCATTTCACAGTATTTTTATAGTTGGCTTTTCAAATCAGGATTCATATATTGCATTGAACTGATATATCTCTTAAGTTTCTTTTAATATATAATTTCTCCTTCCCTTTCTTCTCTCCTTTTTCTCTTGTAATATGTTTGCTCTGTAGTTTCCCATAATCTGTTTTGCTGATTGCATCCCTGTGGTTTTGTTTACCATGTTCCTCTGTCTCCTTTTTTGATTTTTTTAAAGAAAACTTCATAGGCACATAATATCTGGTTGTCACTCTTTATAATTTTGGCATCCATTCATGATCATCTGCTAGATTGATAATATCATTAAAGTTTAGCAAAATTCTGCATTCTTCATTTCTTAGCTGGAATGCTTTTATAAACAGAAATTTCCTGTTATTGACTATTGGGCTACAAAGTTACTCTCATTTACAGTTTATATAAGAAAGACAGGATAAGTACTTGATCATTCTCCTGTATTTATTAGTTTTTAAGATAATGAGTTGATTCTCAAGCATCCTTCAAAGGTGACAAATGAAGTCTTTTTTTTTTTTCCCAAAGTATCATTATAAACTCATGGATTTAACATATTTGATGTTTTTCAGTCCATTGCAGTTATTATTCTTCCTACTGGGGCTCTAACTGTACTTGTCTTTGGTAGTAGGAGCCTCTTCAAGGTAGCTCCTGGTTTTTGACACTACCCTAGTAGTCTGTCATAGCTTCCTTGCTTTCTGGTATGATCCAAAGAAACTGTTTCCTTAAAACTCTGCCTCAGGGGCGCCTGAGTGGCTCAGTCGTTAAGCTTCTGCCTTTGGCTCAGGTCATGAACTCAGGGTCCTGGGATTGAGCCCCGCATCGGGCTCCCTGCTCCGCGGGAAGC